CGAATGGCAGCACTAAGCGACGTCGGCGCTCAAATGCCAAAGCTGAATCGAATCCTGCGTCTCCTTCCAGAGTTGTCCCTCCGCTGGCAATTGTGGATCGGGGTGGGTATGCCGATGGCGCATGGGCGCCAACTTCCACCGACCATGGAAGCTTTCAGCACGACAGCGACGCCCCGAAGCAGAGGCGACAGTCCTGGCCGCCTTCTCGCGCAGGAGGTTGAAATTCAAGCCCGGCGTTCCGAGTCGGGAGAAGCCGACGAAGGTCCGAATTAGCGCGGTCCGGCCGCCAAAGCTGACCACCTTACGCGGGGGGGCGACGAACTCGACCGCGGCATCGCCTTTAGCAGATGGCAGCAACGACTTGGAACAGCCACCTTAGCAGCACGGGGCGCAGAACAGCTGAACAATGCGACCATCTCGTGGACCCCGACTGCCGCGCCCGACGATCTCGAGAGGATGCACCTGGGGCGCCGCCGCGTCGAGTCCTCGTCCTCCGAGATAGGCTGCCGTTATGACTGCCCCTCCAGCTGCGGCGCAGCTGCGCCAATTGTCCGCTTGCGCACCTTTCCCCGCGCTCGGGCCGCGGCGCCGCGATCCCTCCCCCCCCCATGGAGCAACGCCGACCTCCGTTTCCTCTTCTTCCTCTCCCTTCCAACTCATCCGCCCGTTCAGTTGGAGCCGCGCGACGGGCGCCCGCAACATGACGCTGAATAGCTTCACGACTACGGCATCACCTGCTTGTGAACGACGCAGCCACGACGCCGAGCAACGCGACAGGTACTAGCAGCATTCTGATGCGCAGCACGACGGGCACCGAAAGCACGGCGACGAATAGCGCGCCGATTGCCAGCAGCGCGATGCTGAACATCGCGGATAATGTTGGCAGACGGAATTTGCGGAACGGGCGCTACCACATGCGTTATTGTCTGTCGGCTCGGCTCGACGCGATATCGTGGAGCGCCAAGTGCGACCCTCTGCCATTGCCACCGCCGCGCTCTTAGCACTGCCTCCGCTACCACCGTTATCACTTCCATTCCCAATCGCATTGCCAATACCACTACCACCACACCCAATTTCACTCCATGAGTGTTGCGTCATTCGTGGATGTGCCGGCCTTCCCCTTGTCACGCCGCGCATGTTTGCGGCGCGGTCCAGCCACCCGTCGCACCCGCCCCGCAATGTCCGAATCTTTTTGGGCGGTCACTTTCGCATTCTTGTTTTCGTTTCCCGCTTCGAGGATCGCAGATTGGTTAGCCCTCTCTGCGCGACCACGTTCGCTTTTTCAGCCTCCGCGCCTGCCGCATCCACGACCGCTGCCGCCTCCATCCCATCGTCAGAAGCGCTACCACATCCACTGCCATTTGCGTCATTACTGCAACTACAGTTGCATTGACTACAACAAGGACGACGGGTGCTTTATTTTGGTGTTATTGTTCTTATTTTTACGATTGCTACGACTACGCTTACACCTGCTAGTACTGCTACTACTACAGCTACTACTGCTACACTACTACTACTACTACTACTACTACTACTACTACTACTACTACTACTACTACTACTACTGCGACTACTACTACTACTACTACCACTACTACTACTACTACTTCTACTACTACTACGACTACTACTACTACTCCTACTAAGACTACTACTACTACTACTACTATTACTACTACTACTACTGCTACTGATACTATTGCTACTACTGGTACTACTATTACTACTACTACTACTATTATTACTACTACTACTACTACTACTACTACTACTACTACTACTACTACTACTACTACTACTACTACTACTACTGTTACTACTACTACTACTACTACTACTACTACTACTACTACTACTTCTACTACTACTACTGTTACTGCTGCTACTACTATTACTACTACTACTACTACTACTACTACTACTACTACTACTACTATTAGTACGACGACTGCGTCTACTGCTGATACTACTGCGACTACTGCTAGTACTTCTTCTACTATGAGTACTACTACTTCTACGGCTTCTACGGCTTCTACTACTACTACTACTACTACTACTACTACTACTACTACGACTAGTACTAGTACTAGTACTACGGCTACGCCTGCAACTACTAGTGTTATTATTATTTCTACTACTACTACTCCTACGGCTAGGGCTACCAACGAGTACGGCGGCTGGTTCTACTACGGCACTACTACTACTACTACTACTACTACTAGTAGTACTACTACTACTACTACTACTACAGCAAACATTGCGATTAATACGATTAAATATACCACCATTGGACTGACCATGACTACTACGACCACTGTTACTACCACTACCACTACTACTATGGTTTACTAGTGCTACGGCTGCGACCACAACTATTACTACTACTGTTATTCCTGCCACACTCTCACTTCTACGTTTTCGGATGCTCCTGCGACCACTACGATTACTATTGCTACGACTGCTGTTAGTCATTCTCGACTGCTACCGCTATCGCTACCAT